CTCTCTCTCTCTCTCTCTCTCTCTCTCTCTCTCTCTCTCTCTCTCTCTCTCTCTCTCTCTCTCTCTCGGGCAGTGTGTAAAGAACGCATCGCGATAACAATCGATAATGAAGCATATCCTCGCGTCGCAAAATTATGTAATTCATACGCGAAAAATTCAATTCCTCGCCCTGTCAAGCTCCGCGTTTGTAGCGCATTTATTCCCGGATTTCCCGCGTCGTGCAGCGCGCACGCGGGCGAAACTCCGCACGATGGGCGACGTTTGATTTTATCAACTTTAATCGCTAGAATATCACTCGCGAAGATTAATGTCCATCAAACATTTCGGCTATGCAACAACGTATCATCCCGTGAATTGTGGAAAACGAGACGGGTCCGCAAGAGAGTGGCTTCCAATGCCAAAATGTTAATTAGTTGTTGTCGGAAATGTTATACGGCATCATGTATACGTGATCAACCGATAAATTAATATCTCGCCAGGGGTGAGACGAGAACATATTCGAGAAGCAGATGTCATGCGCTATTACGCATAATTAACGCGCGTTTAAAAAGAGATCGAGACCCCAGAATGAAAACTCAAGTCGGCATTCGTAACTTGTTGTCATTGACAATGAACTAATTGTAGCTTCAAGAATCTCTAATTATATATTTGCCAATCTGTGCCTGCATTTATCACATTACTACACGGAGAAAGCTGCTGCGATTGCTATATCCACATTTTTTATAGTTACAAAGAAAATTTATGTGAATTTAAATTAAATATATTGCATTGAAAGTTGCTGTTGTTATATGCCCGTCTATACAGTTCTCACAGTCACAATTCTTATGATGCGTAATGTTCAGTTAATGTACCCTCACACATAGCTGCCTCAACCAAAAGAACATCGCTGTCTCTCTGTTATGGTCTGCAGTACAAATATTATGATTGGGAGATCCATAGGGTTTGGTTACAGTACTGAGTCATACAGTACTGAGAATACTGCTCGTATGGACAGGTAGCAAAGAGAAGATTACTGCACCACTTTCAAACATTTACTATGGTTATCATAACCATTTTGTATGCATGGACAGAAAATAGCGTTATATTTTGTTACGGAAGTCATATTTAGGCAAGTGATATCCTTAATGTTTTGTGTAGTTCAAAGTATCTGACGTTTCCCGGACTTCTAGAACGTCTAGGTGTAGAGGAAGTCGGGATTATATGGCCCCAATAGGCCTATTCTGTAACTTTCAACGACAGTGTCGTTATCGTTATGTTGCCGTTGCGCAGGTATAATACATGGTAAAAAGGCTGCGTAACGACACATTATACTAGTAACATTGTTGTTAAGAAGTTATAGAATAAGTCTTCAGGGATATGTTATTCATGTGCTTTTTTAGTATTTATCTTGAGAGAAATAGTGGATACAAAATCGCGAGATGAAACATAGATACTTGTCTCTGAGTTAAAATCGGAATAATATTACAGTTGAAAAATAGAAAAAAACTGATTTGGTAATAGCAAAGTAAATTTTTAAGCCTCTCGAAATTTTCTATTAATATTCCCCATCGTGACTGAATAAAAATAAATGACGTGTACTACCAGCTAGAATGAAATTTCTTGCAAGTTTGTAATATACTGTTTCTGGTGATAAATGCAATTTTAATCTATAAAATGATTGAAATATAGCATATGAGCGGACGAAGTAAAGTTGGTCCATAATTAAAGGCCTGCAGGAGGGCTGTGAAGACCTCTCGCAGAAACTCTGGAACTACTAATCAGAATACATATTTTATATGTAGCCTTCTTTATCTCCTGCGAACTTGGCACTGGAGCAAGATGGCGGCTATGTTGCTGCACGTTTGTATTTTGATTATTGCAAAACAAAATATACGGTTAACAGAATCGTGGCGGGCATTAATACATAGAGAAATACTAAAGATTTGTTAAATTACCCCACACGGATATGTTAAACATTTCACTCGGAAATTTCTACGTAGAATTTGAACGCAAATAGAAAATCTTTTTCACCGTGTAATCATGTTCTCGATGAAAGCTCTTCGGGGCTGCAGGGAAAGGGGATCACGCGGTTACGATAGGCACGACGATCGCGTGAACTGACCGAAAGCAATCCCGAAGATCACTCGTGATTAACGAAAACGATCATATGTTGGTTGCAGCGAAGCTGGACGGCGTGAAGACGTACATGAGGATGAGGAGAGTGCCGAACCATCTGCAGGTGAAGGTGATCAAGTGGTTCGACTACCTGTGGTTGACGCAAAAGTGCTCCGACGAGGAGAAGGCAGTGAGTTGTCTTCCAGGTGAGGTTCTCCCTCTTACTTTGAGACTCCCAACTTATTTACTTCGTGATTTTCGTAATATCTAACACTCATAACCGATAAGCGGTGATTAACGTGCCGCGAAGCAAAGAGAAACACACGGGAGTGAAAAATTAATATGTCATATCCGCCGGAAATCGCCTCACACAAGCTTCACTTTAGGATCTCGTCGAAAAAGGCAGGGGAAAAAGGCTAGAGAAAAACGCGGGCTCGTCTTTGGACGCGCGAGAAGTTGGCGAAACTCTCGCGATGCGATTAATTTGAGCGCGCCGTGCAACTATTTATCCTCATAATTAATTATTTATTAACTCTTCAGTATCTAGTTATCGTGATTAATGCGTAATATCTCGGCGGGTTCCAGAGCGCGGATTTATACCCCTATAAACGACGCGAGAGGTATAAGAAAATGCGGCGGCGACGTCGTAACTTTATAATATTTATATAAGTCTGAAACGCTTCTCCTCCCTCCCCCTCTCCCTCTTCCCGCGCACACAATTGGTGGCTAAGTAAGCCGCGTTAAACTCGCGCTGTTTCACAAGCGCGTAACTTAACGAATGTGTAATTAACGCAATCTTGTTCCCATCGCGGACTCCCTCTCCCACACCAACCTCTCTTTCCTCCCACTTCTCTTTCACATACATACACATACACCTTCCTCCTCTCTCCTGGAGAGCCAGCCTTTCCATTTTTGCCAGCAGCAATTTATTAGTCAAATAACAGGAATTTCTCGATTACGCGGAACGAAGTGCTTACAAGTTACGAGACGATACCGTCGCCTTTTGCTGGTGCGTTAGCGTATATAATTTCACGGGAAACATTTGATCTCGTAACTGCCGGCAGGATCTGCAAACTAAAATGCGAGCAAACCGAGACGTGTAAGCGGGTTGTACGTACGGTTGCCAACACCGTCGCACCTTTAATGCAAACGCGTCGGCGACCAGCGACTGTAACCGCGTGTCTGTCTGTGTGTGTGTGTATATATGCACACGAATTTCGCCAGGGTGTCGGCGGGAAAGCGAAATGAAAATACACTCTGCGTATTTTGTAGCGCGCACATTGGCGAATGGAAGTTTATTAATTTTCCACGCTTGTTAAATCACCTTGTAATTCAATCGCGAATAAATCAACGACCCGCTTCGCGAGTGTCACATGCGCGCTAATGCACATCGCGAAAGAACACACGCGATAATTCGCTTACGCGCGGTACACAGAGATTTACCAATTATCTAATAATCAATCTCGGCAACAATTTCGAGCAAAAAATACGCGCAACGTGTACACATCGACACGTGCGCCAGCATTTCTTCCCGATTCGCACTTATGCGTGCGACCACGCGTTCATGGACTTCTCTCGTGCACTCGCTCTCACGTAAAAAATACGTTTCTGCGGCGATCGTTAGAGACCGGCGCGACGATCGCTTGAGCGAAACGACATTGCAGCTACTACGATTTCGCCACTGAAACGCCGCTAAATAATGATTCTACGCGCAATAATGATCCTATTGCTGGCGATGCACCCGTAAAGCGCTATGCACGCAACATAAAATACAACGTGAATGTGTGGAATCCAGCAAATACACCCGAGGGAACGACGCGGCGACCCGCAAGCTACGTCGACTGACGTTAGGAGGGGGTCTTACCGCTGAAATTTATTGCAGCAGATACGCAAGAGTGCTTAACGCGAAGTCAAGCTCCCGCTAAGAAGAAAATTGTCAACTTTCTGCCTAAGCCCTCTCGCTTGCGCCCTCCCCTCGGAAACGTTTTTAACGTCGCTCTTCTGCGAAAAACATCGGCTAATTTCACACACACCCGAGCACTTTGCGTGACTTGTCGTGACGCGAAATTTTCCCGTTCTCTCTCTCTCTCTCTCTCTCTCTCTCTCTCTCTCTCTCTCTCTCTC